TGGTATGTTATTTATTTTTAATTTTTTAAACACATACAAATTTAAATTTAACTCTAAGTAGTTTTATTTAAGAAATAATCATAGATGATGTTGGTTTTCTGTTGGTGTCACAGATTTTTTGGAATGTTATTTTCCCAGTGGAATGGCACTCACCTGTTAATGGGTTGTCAGATACACACTAAGTGAAAAAAAAAGTATTCTAAATGAAGGGTATTAAACCTGAGTAATCAGTGTCTTCATATGTGTATTAACATACCTTCTCAAAGAAAATTTTGGAAATCATTACTCCTTTAAATTAAACTCAAAGTCAGAGTTTTTCTTAATTTTTTTGAAGTGAAAGAATATCCAGTTTTACAATCCAGACAGCTACTATTAAATAAAAAGAACTCTGAAGAGTATTAGTTCAATAAGCTTTGTATTTTTAAAACTACTTAAATATGGAAGAATGTGAAGTTTTCAATTTAAATTATCTCCTTCATAACTTTAATCTTCCAGACTTAAAAGGTGACATTGTGGGTGCTCTGTGGTATCATCAAGCATGTAAAACAGTTTTCCCAGAAATATTTAACTAAAATTTAAGTAAAATGCTAATTTTTCATTCATTTATCATAATTAACTTCCAAGCTTAGGAAATTATATTCCAAAAAATCTTTCTAAACTCTTGCAAATCTGCAGTATTTCTTACCAAAATGAAGATGTGATCTTGCCAGCTGGTTCCCAAATTCAGTCTGTGACCAGTCAGTCTAAAATTAATAAGCATAAGGACAAATTGTTAATGCCACTGTGTTTATAGTTATTAGTAGAACAATGCCAGTGATTGTTTAGAAGATTTTATACTTGTATTACTAATTGTGTCTTAAAAAAGCACTTCTGTTGTATATTTTTTTACCTGTTGTAAAAAAAAATTTTTTTTTAATTTTAAAAAGCTTAGAACAATCCTTAAATATTGACAATATGTTTACAATATGTTTCAACATCAACATTCATATTTCACCACAACTCAAAGAAACATAAAGTTCAGTTCATAGCTTAAACAGGAAGCATCCTCCAAACAGCATCCTTTCTTTAATTCTAATGGTTCAGTCCTCGTAGTACCACACGTTTTCCATACACATTGGCAGAATAACTTCTGATCTCGCTCTCCTAATGTAGGATCAAGACACTGTTCATAAGACACTCGAGAAAGTGCTTTTGCAATATCACAAACTTACTTTCTTAAGTTTGTAGTAGCAGCAAAATTATTGAGCTTCCAGCTGTATGGAGCCCTGTAGCACTCTCTACAGAGAGGATCCTGATTCCCAGCAACTTAGATGTGAGTGCAGGCGCGGAAAGGTCTTAGTGGTGTGAGTTACATTAACCTGAGTATCATAGTAAGTAAAAATTTATCCTAATGTCTTTGGGGCGGGAGGGGTTTATAGCAGCGTTGGGGCTGGTTACAGAAACAACCCCTCTTCTGCCCCCCAGACTCTGAGGAAAGCATTCTCGGTCTCTTCACATACGAGGAATGGTGGGAAAGGTCTTGGCTAGAGAGCGTGTGGCTGTGTGTTGTCACTTGGCATTCAGCACAGGCAGCTAGGATTTAAACCCTCCCTGACCCTGAGACAGAGAACTTTACCCAGAAAATGGGGCCGAGTCCAGATTTCAGATACATTAATCACTCATCATCACTTAGATTGATGGAACTATTATTTTTTTCTTCTGTTAATGAAGTGAAAAATAAAAATTCCTTATTAATGGTTTATTTTTCTCCCCAAACAGGTTGAAACAGTTCCTCAGGCTACAGTGAAGACTGGATTACAAAAAGGTGAGTTCTTACATTGTTGCTCTACATTTCCTTGATTAAAACCAATTTTAAAGAATTATTTGTACTTCATGTATTTTTGTTTGTCTCTGTGAATCATTGCTGTTGCTCTTCAGTCGATAATTTGTGTGAAATTGAAGTATTCCCCTGTGTTTGTGTGTGTGTGAGCGTGCGCGCGTGTGTCTTCTAGAGTTGATCTTATTCTGTGCCTCCGTGTGAAAAGTCTTACTTGTTTTGGTAAATTGGAGAACACCACGTAGACTTGATACTGTTTCCAACTTTTCTCCATAAGATTCTGGGGTTTCACTGGTTTATAAACTAGGGATGTGACGAATCCACTTTTTTTGGTATTCGAGTGAATACCGAATAGTAGCTATTAATGTTTGTCAAACATGGACTATGACAAATCAGACAAGACAACCTGATTGAAAAAAAACCTTGCCACGTTTATTTTTACAGTGCTGTAAAATCTTTTTTTGTAAATTAAAATGATTCATAGCATATTTATGGCCATTATTAGATGACCTTATGCAAAGTCTAATTGCGATATGCACAAAGTTTAAGAAAGCTTAAACTTATATCTGTATTTTCTGTGTGCAATTTGACTACAGTACAAACTCCATAGCATGATTCGTGCGTTTTTGGTGAGATCAGACTGTATTTAATACCCTGTAGTTTACTCTGGGCAAATTGCATTATTTAAAAAAAAAAAAAAAAACACCAGCCTCTCTGCATTCTCGGGGAGAAGTCTGCAGCGATGGTCTCCGTGGAGATCCTCAGCAGAACTGAACAGCCTCTCGGAGGGAACACTGCTTGGCGGAGCTCCAAGAAAAGACATCGCGATCGCTGCGAGATTAGGAGGCCTGATTGCGTTGTGTTTCCACCATTCCACAGGGTCGGCGGACCGGGGAGTGCAGGGCTCTGTCAGATTCAGTGACAGCTCCGTCTCCGCAGCGATTGAGGAAACTGTGGACTGAGATTCCTGTACAATTTCATCCCAGAAACTCCAGACTTGTAGTCTCCATGCAAGATTTCTTTGTCGGCGGCTCGATAAAACAGTTCCTTTGTTTTCAATTTTGATTTTGCCAATCATCATTATTGGCACTTTCCTGCCTGGTTTCTTCTTCAAGACTCTGAACGATTGCTTTAACATTCAAATGATTTTTTTTTTTTTTTGGTCTGAGCTGGATGGGTACAGCTTAAATCATGGGTCCAGCCTAAAAACCACCGTTTAACTTACACTGATCAATTTCAACATGGACTGTTTTTTGTTTTTTGTTTTTTGTTTTTCAATAAAGCATCATTAATGCACATCTGCAGGGTTTTGCCAAACAGCCCAAACTGTATACATTACAATCATTAAAAGCTCTTATTTTTTTTAAAAAAAAATATTAGTGCCGTTATCATGGAGAACAGCATGGCGGCTGTCTTTGGCAGTCTGTCGTCTTTCTAGCATTTTCAGAAACTCATCGGAAATGGCGGTACCTGTGTTTCCCTTCGAAAGCCTCTCAGTACAGCACTCCTGTTCCTCTGTTAAAACTCCTTGTTAATCCAGTGATCTTTTAGGCCAAGGAAACATTTTGTGGTGGTGTTCTGGGTCCATACACCAGCAATGAAGGAGATAGATTTGTGTACTTGTGTTTTTTTTTTAAATCAGCGTTCACACGGGCAGACACCCTCATTTATAGATGTCAGGAAACATTGAGTGAAAACCTTGTAGCGTGGGATGTGATAACGAGGTTCCAGTAATCTGAGCGGTCTAAAGAGGCCCACAGCCTCCGGCACAGACCGGGGCCACACACCACGTGCTGCGCGCACTCAGCCCTGCGGATCTTCGTGGCCTCGGGAGACCTGTTCCTCCATGGTCTCTTCTGGACTGCACACTTCCACCATAGCTTGCTGGGCTGATCTAGATGTCTGTTTGTTGTATGGAAATTTTGGGGGCAAAAAAAAAAATCCAAAACACAAACTGTGGGTTGAAATATTAACCGTCTCCTTGGTTCCTTGGTGTTCACCGTGCCCGACCTGCACATACCATCGCGGCTGTTCTGTGTAGCCTCTACCGCATTAGCCCAAGAGATTGTTGCTTTGTAACTTTTTGCACTATTGTTTTGGCTGGATTTGTATTACACACAGTTTTAAAAAAAAAAAATTCCACACTATTCTCTGCCTTTTTTTTTTTTTTTTTCATATTTATTCCTTCCCGAACCAATTCCACATAGCGGCCTCTCATCCAGCTCTTCGTGATTTGGCTGCACTCGAACGTTGATTGTCTGTTTACAGCCCTCAGCACTGTGCCTCCTTAAATGGCATGACGTATGTAGCTGTACCGCAGCACTTGTAATGGTCACAGTAAATGCCCTTCACCAAGGAAGTCTCAGATGAACAATTGCGAACATCCAGAATCTGTTTGGGGGGCAATAATCAACTGAATGGCAAAATTCGGGGGAAAATGGCACTATCCGTGTACGAATCGAATACAAATCAAAGATTTGTCACATCCCTAATAAAAACAAGATGGAGGTGTCTCTGCGACCATATTTGTAAGCTACACAGTGTGTTGGGTTTTATGTCTTCCCCCTCCAAATTGAATGGTTCTCTGGATCGCTCCAAATCGTATCAGCTGTCCTGCAGTTTTGATAGAATTGGTTTTTAGGTTGGAACTTGGGCTCTATGGCCTGAAAATAGCTTTAGCGCAGGAGCACTGAATTCAATGTTTTAACAGAGCGGTTTGTAAATTAAATCATTACTCATCTTCAGGAAGGTCAGAAGCTTAACGAAGTTTTGACTCGTGACTTCAGTTGTTACAAAGAGAGCTGTGCTTTTTTTTTTCACACTACAGATGAGTTTGGGGAAAGAAAATATTTTCCCACACATACACACAAAATTGAAAACAACAAACTTAAAGCACTATTTTAGGATTAATTTCGGTGTGTTGTGTTAAGGTGCCAGCGAGATTTCAGATTCCTGTAAACCCCTAAAGAAAAGGAGCCGCGCCTCAACGGACGTAGAAATGGCTAGCTCAGCGTACAGAGACACATCCGACTCCGACTCCAGGGGACTGAGCGACCTGCAGGTAAGCATGGCCCAGGGTCTGGGCGCAGTGCTGTCCAGCTTTGCAAAACCAATAACCAAACAATGCTTTGCCTGACTTATTTGGGGAGAGCAGGGAATTAAAAAACAAACAAACTCATAGTAAAGAAACCATTTTGATTATTTTGTGACTTATGGCTCTTTTAATTTTGCCTAACAGAAGCATAGTGTTTTAATTTTAACAGTTTCTCTCAAAACACCAGACATCTGGTACCCAAGGGTCTTAGAAAGAAAGAAAACAAGAGGATATACAGTGGTTTATTTGAGCTAGTCTTGCACTGGGATTTTCCTAGCACCTAGTTTTGATGAAATTTTTTGTTTTTCTTAAAAAGGTGTTTTTTTTTCCACGTAGGTAGGCTTTGGAAAGCAAGCAGATAGCCCTTCCGCTACCGCAGATGCAGATGCTTCTGATGTGCAGTCCGTGGATTCAAGTTTGTCCAGAAGAGGCACTGGGATGAGTAAGAAGGACGCTGTGTGTCAGGTAGGCACGAGACCTGTCCTGCTGCTCGAAAGAATTGCTAGAATATTCTGCCAATGAAACACCCCCTCGTGTTGGAGAGGGCAGTGTCTTTCTAAATCATCACATTCCTTTAAAGCTGCAGATCTAGAAGTCATTTCTGTCTCTTTTCTTCCCTTCCTGAGTTGAAATTCTTATTATCTACATGCGAGTGCCAGTCTTCATTGTGATGCTGTTATTAATTGGAAGGAAATGACAGATGGCTGATTTCAAAAACACTTTCTTAAATTGAAGCTGGTGTTAACTTTTTTAATGTATATTTACCCTTTTTTGAAAAATATCACTTTGCCCTGTGAAGAAGTTAAAGTATGCAGATTCCAAAGAAGGAGTAATAAAAGATCAAATATGACTTTTAAACTTTATACATATTGCACCTAGAAATAGTTATCCGGTTATCCAGGGACCAGCAACATCAGCATTGTCTTATTAGAAATGCAGACTCTTGGGCTCCACCCCGGATCTCCTGCATCAGAAACCGTGGACCCTGTGAAAAGTGTCTTAACAGGCCCTCCAGTGGTCCTGTGCCTGCTCAAGTTTGAGAACCACTGTTTTTTGCTCTGTTACAGATCTGTGAAAGCTCTGGTGACTCTCTGGTTCCTTGTGAGGGAGAGTGCTGCAAACACTTCCACCTGGAGTGCCTGGGGTTGACATCACTCCCTGATGGAAAGTTCATCTGCATCGAATGTAAAACTGGTGAGCTTCTGCAGGGAGGGAGGTTCATGCAATGAATGCCCTCATCTCCCAGGATGTCTCTGTCTCTTACCACCTTGACGCAGCTCTTCTCTCCTCTCCCAGAGCTGTTTCAACGAGTTGAGACCATGTGATGAGGCTTTCTAAGATCAGAAGAGTAGTCAGCAATATTGCTGTCAGATTTCCTCCTGCCAGCGCCTTTACCGTAAAATCTATCAAATCATGGAGATACATTTGTGTTTCATTTAAAGAGCTTACAAAGTATGTAGAGTGAATTATTTTTCAGATGGGTTTGAAATTTTTGTGGTTAATAAACTGGTTTAAAACCCTTTGACTTTAACAGACTGGAATATGTGTCCATCACAGACTATAACCATGGTGATCATATTTTTAATGGAAAGGTGGAGCTACTGAAAATTGTTTTTAAAACATGGGGGTTTTGGAGTCACCATTTATATCTTATCCCCCCATATAAAGATTGCCACCTATCAAAATAATTTACAGAGAAAGAAATAGGCAAGTTTATATTTCTTCTCTGTGTCACCATGATTCTAGTTAAAAGTCGTAGAAAGCAGGAAATAGAACTGTTTAATCTGTAACAGTAAATCAAGGGAAAAGTCAACTGGAGGTGGCATGGTAGTGCTCCTAGGAACCGTGTGTGTTTTTGTGTTTTGGTTTTGCTGTGAGGAACTGTGAGCCGGTTGGGTATCAGGTATTTATGATGCTCTGACCTTACTTTTGACAGCTCATTATTCTCCTACTTCCTTCCCCCCTTGATTTGGATTCTCCTATTTATTTTAGACTCTTTTATTTGTATGCCTCCAAAAAATCATTTGTACATTCTGAATTCCATTATTATTATTATTATTTTTACTGAACACTTACTAAATGCCAGGTATGTTTAGTACTAAGCATTTTATCTTCTCACCTCATTTGGTCCTCATAATATTGAGACAGATACTATTATTTCCATTTTACAGAGTGTGAAACTGTGAATTAGAGAGTTTGTATTCCAGCTTTGCTCAGAGTCACAAAGAGCAGATGATGAAACTGGTTTAGGCCCAGGAGGCAGAGCCTGACCCCAGAGTCCTCTTTTTACCACTGCCTTCTACCACCTTGACTAGTAGGATGGAGATCATATATCATATATCCCCTCTTTCTCACAGACACACACACACACACACACACTCACCTATGCACACTGGCAAAAATCAAGCTTATAGAAGCTGCTTTAAACATATAATTTATCTTTTTCCCTATGTAAAATATCACTTATGACATTTAGACCCTGCAGAAAAACTTTTGAACAATTTGCCAACTGTTAGTCTCAAAGTCAAATGATGTGCACATTGTTTTATTTGGTCTTCAGAATAAGTTTTGAATGTGCAAACATGGAGTGGCATGTACTCCTGGTCCCCCATGTCCCCTACTGTTCCCTTTTTCTAAAGCCCTGTCACTCAGTCATTGATATAACCTGCCTGGCCTCATTAAGCACTCAGATTTGCAGCCTGTGTCTTAAATTGCTGGTAGGAAGGACCATGTATCTCAATATTAAAATGCTCTTACGGCTTCTACCCTAAGTCTAGAACTCTGCCAACAAAGGTTAAAGATAATCTAATTTGGTACACATTTATTAGGAAATTTAACAGGCAAATTTGCTTTAAAAACAATTAAGTAGAACAAAGTTCCCTTCTAATTTCAAAATTTACTACAAAGCTGCAGTAATTAAAACAGTGTGGTACTGACATAAAGACCATATAAACATAGAAACCAATAGAATAGGGAGCCCAGAAATAAACTCACAGATACAGTCAAATGATTTTTTAACAAGGGTGCAAATACTGTTCAATGAGACAAGGATAGTCTTTTCAATAAATAGTGCTGGGAAAATTGGATCCACATGCAAAAGAATCCATATACAAAACACCATATACAAAAATTAATTCAAAATAGATCAAAGACCAAAACACAAGAGCTAAAACTATAAAACTCTGAGAATAAAACACCAAAAAAAAAAAAAAAACAAACCCAAATAACCCAATTCAAAATTGAGCAAAGGACTTATATATAGACACTTCTCCAAAGAAAATACACAAATGGACAATAAGACATGTAAAGATGTTCATCATTAGTAATCAGGGAAATGCAAATCAAAACCACAGAAGTAATTGTTTTTTAAATTGCTTTTGATTTATTTATCATCACATGAAAATCAGTTTGGTATCAATCTGGTGCACTGCCAATATGTTAGGAGTGAAAACTCAGATTCTTCAAACCATTGTTTAAGGTCATTTAGGAAGTTTTTTTGTTTGTTTATCAAAAGATAAATACTTTACATGTAAAAAGAATTAGAGGATACTTATACTATCACTTTCTATTGTTTAAGATAGTGATTTCTGGGGAGAAGGCATTTTCACTCTCCCTTTTGAATAAAATGTGTATCAGGCAATAAAAGGAAGTCCTAGTGAGGAGGGACAGTGGTAGAAGCATTCACATGCTAGAGCTCTGAACGTTAGTCTTGGGGGGGGGGGTGTATAGCTCAGCTCCCTGTTAGTGCTACAGTATTGCTAGTTACAGCAGTTTTCAGTTCTATTAAACTTACTTTGATCATTATGCAAGTGAAAGACTATTTTATTTTTACATAGAGCAGTGCATACATTAGGTGAGGTCAAACCTCTTAACCTTCAAAATAATTTTCTTGTAATATTTTAGATTTCTGAAAGTTATTTTAAAAACAATGCTGTTGTTTTCATATCTACCTATGTGTTAAAATATAATTTGAAATTACATATATGCAACAGAAGAACAATTAAAAAAAACCCACTGTAATTTGTTTTATTTCTATAACAAAGCTGCCCCCCAAAATTGAGCACCAGAGTTAAAAGTGCTAATTTTAAAAGATTTTTATAATTTAGCCAGCCAATTTGTAAAGGTTAGGTACTTCCAAAACCAAATCTAACCTTTTGTAAAACAATCAAAACAAAAAAAATACTCCTTGTATTTTTTTCCTTTAGAATTTTTATAGCATTATAAAAAAAATTGGCAAAAGACTTGAACACTTCCCAAAAGATGATACCCAAATGGCCAGTAAATAGTCACTTATAATTTCCATATGTAACACAGACACAAAATGAAAATGCTAATCTTATTTAAAAGGCAGATAATTACAGCTTTCAGTTGTTTGCAGTTACAAACAATGCTTCAGTCAACATCCTTTTACACGGACAAGGCTTCCCTAAGGAAGACAGCAGGAAGCAGAATTGCTAGGCTGCAGAAAGAGAATGTCTCCTCTTAGTTTTATGGATGCGGCCCTGTGGCCTTCATAAGGTAGTTCCTTCTAACTTAGAGTCCAACCAGCAGTGTGTAGCAGTGCCTGTTTCCCCACACCCTGATCAACAGTTGGTATTATCTAACTCTTTAAGTTTTGTTCCACTTGATGTATTTTTTGAGATGTTACTTGTGGTTTTAATTAGCAGTTATCTGATTACCAGTGAAGTTGAGCATTTGGCATGTGTTTATCGGCTGTTTTCCTGCTTTCTGTAAATTGCCGGTTATTCCCTTTGCCCACTTTCATATTAGACCATTTCTATATCGATTCGTAGTTCTTTATAAGTCTTGTTGTTTTTGCTTATGTATGTTGCCTCTGTTTTCTCCATATGTGAATTTTTTCCCCATGATTCTGCTTTATTTTGTATTGATTGATTAAAGTATAGTTGATTTACAATATTATATTAGTTTCAGATGTACAACATAATTCAAAATTGTTATAGATTATACTCATTTTAAAGTTATTATAAAATATTAGCTATATTCCCTCTGTTGTAAAGTATGTCCTTGTATCTTATCTGTTTTACACCTAATCGTCTGTACCTCTTAATCCTCTGCCCCTATCTTGCCCCTTCCCCACCCCATCCCCACTGGTAACCATTAGTTTGTTCTCTATATTTGTGGGTCTGTTTTGTTACATTCATTTGTTTGTTTTGTTTTTTAACAAAACATAATCCTTTGTCATTTTGTTGCATTTATTTTTCTACATCTGTTTGTCCTTTACTTGGTCGTTCTTTTTTTTTTCTGTTCTGTTCTAATTGGCATTATTTCTTCCTTTAAATGCTTGGCAGGTTGACCAGTGGAGTCATCTAGGCTTAAAAAGATTTCTTTGTTGGAAGGTTTCTAATTATAGTTTCAATTTCTTTAATAGTTTATAGAACTATTCATATTTTCTATTTATTTTTGTGCCAGTGTTGGTAAGTTCTGTTTTTCTAGGAATCTGTTCATTCATCTAAAATTTCAGATTTATTGGCAAAAATATAGCAATATCCTTTTATTATTTTTTTAACACTTGTAGGATTTGTAGTGATGTACCATTTTTCACTTCTGATACTGTTAATTTTGCTGCTTTTTCTCCCCTTTTTTATTAGTCACTGTTGCCAGGGATATCAGTTTTATTAACCTATTTCAAGGAACCAGCTTTTGGTTTTGTTAATCCTCCCTAATGTGTATTGATTTCACTTCCTTCTTGAAGAGTGTGCATTCACTGGATGTAGACTTCTGGCTTGGTGACAGTTCTCTTTCAGCCCTTTGAGGTAGCATCCCCTTGTTTTCTGGCTTCCATCTTTCTCTTTCAGTCCGCTCTCAGTCCTGCTTCTTTGAAGGTAATTGTTGTCTTTTCTGTGGGTAATTTTAATATCTTCTTGTTCTTGACTTTCTACAGTTTGCATAAGATGTCTAGCTGTAACTTTCTATATTTTTATTAAGATTATGAGTTTTTATTTTATGTCTGTTTTACAAAAGGAAATAGTGATTATCTAATGGGATCTGTGTTTTCTTTGCTAATTTTTTGATTCTGTGTTGAGAAGACCCTGCCACTCTCAGCTCCCAGGTGTTGAAAGATTCTGTTTTGGGTTTTCTATGGAATTAATTTTAGTATAAAGTGAGAAGTGGAAGTCTAAATTGTTTTTAGTGCTATATCTCCAAATTGATTATCAATTATTATAGCAAATCAATTATTCTAGCAAATTTTATTAAGTCACGGTTTAACTATTTTCTCTCCCTTTTTTTGTATATTAAAATCTTACACGTAGTAGTAGAATCCCTTTTGGGGGTAGCTCTTTGATGTCAGTAGTTGCTTCTATTTAAAAGGAATACGCATTAATCAGGCTTTATATAATCTGTGTTCCTCACCAATACTCCAGGACAGCACCCATGTTTTTCATGTAAAGTGTCTGGTACAGATGTGAAGCGCTGCTCCGTTGGTGCTTGTGGGAAATTTTACCATGAAGCCTGTGTCCGCAAATTCCCCACTGCCATCTTTGAATCAAAAGGATTCCGCTGTCCCCAGCACTGCTGCTCTGCCTGCTCCATGGAGAAAGATATCCACAAAGCAAGTAAAGGTAAAACAGAGCTAAGGGAGGGGACGGAGCTTTTTTTTTTAAGTTTAGTAGCCAATCATAAGCACATTATCTAAAGAACATCAAGCATTCTCCCTCTGTAGCTATTACAGCTCAGCCACAACGGATAATATGATGAGCGGAGACTAGGTTCTAATTCAGACCATGAGAAGAAAATTCCATGTGTTCAAAATTATCCTTGAAAACTCCTTAAACAGGTGCCATATTGGAGACCACCACCTCCTCAGCCCAGGAGCAGACGGATTTTCCTCTGATCTCTAGACGGACACTGCATTTAGGGGCTGCACAGCATAAGAAAGGCCGAGCTACTGAAGAAAGACATTTTTATTCTGCTATAACCAGCATCACATTGGATCCCAAAAGAGCCCAGCTCCAGAAGTCCCATTTTGTGTCTGCTGATGCCTTGTCACGTAGATTCCTTTCTGGTGGTCTTTCAACAGGTCGCATGATGAGATGTTTGAGGTGCCCCGTGGCCTATCACTCTGGAGATACTTGCATCGCTGCCGGCAGCATCTTTGTGTCTTCCTGTGTTCTCATCTGCAGTAATCATTCCAAACGGAGCAGTAACTCTTCCTCTGCAGTAAATGTAGGCTTTTGTTTCGTTTGTGCAAGAGGTGAGCATCAGTCCTTTTCCTTTATGTCTTTCTGAGTCCATTGGCATATTTCCCCATTAACACTGAGTTTCGGTAATATCCCTGAGAGTAACACTTCCAGAAGGAAACCAGTTTCTTTTATACCATTAGACATTCAAACTTTCAGAATAGTAATTCTTCCCTAAATTAAGCTAAAATCTGCGGTTTTTTTAATAACTCAGAATTATAGATGAGTTCTTAGTGTTCCTATTTGAAGCATCAAAAGATTAATCTACAGTTGACCCTTGAACGAAATGGGTTTGAACCACATGGGTCCTCTTATGTGAGGATTTTTCTCAATACGTGCTACAGTACTGCACAACCCAAGCTTGGTTGAATCTACAGATACGGGGGTTGGTGGGAGGACTGTAAATTTACAGTGGATTCCAACTTCCTGGGGGTCGGTGCCCCTAACCTCCGCATCGTTTGGGCATCAACTCTCTTTTCTTCTGCAAACAGTTCTTCTGTTGGAAGTAGACTCTCCCATATCATATTCTTTACTCCAGAATTTCCAACTAATTTGAGATTTCACTTGGAAGGCAAGACGAGCACATTTCTTTGGTAATTGTTGATGTTTTATCACGTTTTGGTCTGGCACTGACAAAAGCCTGATGGGACGAAGCCAAGGCAACATATGTGGTGTGTTAAGAGCCAGCGGTGCAGGCTTTCTTACTTGCCAGCTGTTGATATTTAAGTCTGCTGAGAGAGTGATCGATTAAAAAAATATTATATCCCTGAGGGGGTCAGTGAATAGTGAGTTCATGATAAATATAAAGTAGAACTTCTTTAGTTGAATGTGATACAGAGTATCCAACTTTACAGAGTACCTCAGCTGTATTGTAATAAAGCAGTTTTTAGTGTTTAGTAAGCATTTTAGAAACCAACTAATACCCTCAGTGCAGTTTGTTTTTTTCACGTGACTGCTAAGTTTTCCAGACTCCCCTTAGTGTGAAATACTTGAAATGGCATATCAAGCCTGTTAGATCGTATTTAGACCATACTGAAGATGAAGATTTGGCTTTTGTTTTGTTTTCTGTTTGTTTTGTTTTGTTTTGTTTTTGGCTTTAGGAGACCATTCTTTTAATTTGGTAAAAGTACTTTAAAGTATTTTTAATAGAATTTAGGTAGTATTATAGACCTTGAGTTATTTTGCCTTTAGAACTCTCATTTAAAAAAAAAATAGCCAGCAGAGGTGGACAGTAAAAAGATTAAATAAAAGGTGGTCCTTTTGTAGCAGCCTGGGTCCACGCTGTCTACTTGGAGTCTGCCAGAGATTTGCAGGCACACGCGGTGGCCTGTCGTTAGAGGGAAGTGTTGTGTAAGCACCGAGGACAGCCGGGTCCTGCTCTGACACCTGGATGGCACAGGGAGGAGAAGGTCTGAAGTGTTTGATGCCATGTTGTATTAGCCAAAGAAATAAAAAGTCAGTGTGTATCTTTTCCATCTCCCCATCCCTAAGAAAGTAATGACAGGATGGCAATACTGAATTATCAATTGAATGACTAGCTTTAGAGCCTTTTGAACATATGCGTATCAGTGATAACAAAAGGTCTCTTTTTCTTTGTAAATGTTTTATTCTAACATTCTGGGCACTTACTTTTACTCACTTTTACTAGAGTGAGGTGTGTGGGGGTGTGTGTGTGTGTGTAACTGAGCCAACATTTTAAATACCAAGTTTAAAACTGTCACGTTGGCTTACTTTGGAGTACATTCTGAGTCGAGCACCATCAGTATGTATATCACCCAGTATTTTCTTTTGCTCTGTTTCATTCAGTAATTGGGTGACCTTTAAAACGGGTATTTTTGGCCTAAGACAGGTAGAAAATGACCATTGTCAAAGAACCCAGGTCCTGGCCATTTCTCTAGCCATTTGTTAAGTTTAACTTATATGCCTTGATTAAAAGCTTGAGATAATGGAAGTGAGGGGAAAACCCATATTTTAACAACAGGATTGTGTTTGCATCTTGTCAATTTGGCAATTTTTCTGAAGGATTTGCTGTATTTAAATGCCTCTTTAGGCAAAGTTACTTAATTCCCAAATATTTTAATTGGGCGACTTTGTGCAATAAACAGACACTTCCATTTCCTTTCCAGCACTTTACAGAAACTCACCCTAAGTAGGTCAGATGTTGGCGTTTGAAAAGGCTTTAAAGTTCTTCAGAAGTAAATAAAATGTGTTCTTTTATCAATAGTTATAGAGGTCTCCTTTTCCAAAGAGATCCAGTTGTAATAAATCCACACATAAAAAAGGGGTATTTTAATTGTTTATGCTTTGATATTGGAGACTAAGTCCATTTTGGTTTTGTTTCTTGCCTCATACGGAGTTTCTCCCTCCCCACAGAGGATTTTTCTCTTAGTTCTTGTTTATTGATTGCTTAAAATCATTAGGCTAGTTCTCAAGGGCTGAAATGTCTAGAAAAATTGTAAGAAGTGTTCGGGTTTAGAAGGTGGTTCCTCTGCTCCCTGCCGCACAGCACCGCAGGCCGGGCAGCCGTGCCTCCCCGGGTGTACGTGCTCTGGCATTTCCCTGCATCTGGAGGCTGGTATAGAATAAAAATTACTTAGCATTCTAAGTTGTTCTTATTTCAAAGCCACACCACTCTCCTCTATTAAGTGTATGAAATTCATTCAACATTATATAACCTTTATTTGAAAATTCTTATGTATTATTACCAGTTAGTAATTTCAAGTTCCATTCTGTCTTCTGTGTCAGAGATGTTTTCTGAATCTTTCTCAGTGTAGGGTAGCACCAGATGAAGATAACATTCACAGGAAAACATAAATGGTCACTCCATTAAAAACAAAACTCTCCCCTCTTCTCAAAAATGATCTCTATGAACCTCTGTCATGATTTGTATTATAAAGTCCTAGATCATTATAAGCTGGCCAGTAACCAAATAGGAAAGTTTCCCTGGTGTCACAGGTCCCTGGGTTTAGAAGTGGCTGCAGCTACATGATGAACTTAACTAGGGGGAGGAGGGGAGGGGAGTCAGGGTGGTTGAGAGCAGATCCTGTTTTCCTCCGAATAGGACAGCTGTATTGGTAGTTTGACAGGACTGTTTTTATAGACCTTTGAGTTGGTAAGCACTTGAGTTGGTTATTACCATGGCAGGACAAAATTTTAAGTGGTTCGCGTTACCTCAGTAAAGTTGAGCAACTTAACGGCTTCTTTAAAATCATGTATTGTATTGATAGAGAAAAGCTTCGTTGTCTGCCCCGAGAAAAGCTAGACTTTGTATCTGAAGATCCGAGCAGAGCGGAGGAGAGGCTCAGTGCTGCCTGGTACACGGAAGGCGGACAGGGTCTCTGCTGTGTTGTGTCGATGGTTCCTACTCCCAGCAGTGACGTCGTGTGTCATTCTGTCCTTTGGATCGTCGTCGTAGGACTCCTGAACACTAAGGAACGTAGCTTTGTTTTCCAGAGGGGGTTTTCAGAATGACGTCAAATGCAGTTGACATCCTCAAGTTAATTTGGAGTTTTCTTCGGGTGTGTAGGTTTCTGTACAGGGTAAGGCGTTGGAAAGCCCCTTTAATAACTACAGGAAGCCTTTTCTGTCAGACCTTTCTCTTCAGATTCTCGTTTCCCCCCAGCTTCAAGCACAGCTGCATAGTAGGGGTGGTTCATTTCTCCGCATGGAATCATGGGTACTTTCATTGCCGCTCACATCTTTCTGTTTGTCTCGTATAGGGCTGATAGTTCAGGACCATTCAGACCCCATGTTCAGTTCCTATGCCTATAAGTCCCACTACCTACTGAATGAATCAAATCGTGCAGAGTTGATGAAATTACCTATGATTCCTTCTTCGTCAGCTTCCAAAAAGAAATGTGAGAAAGGTAATAATCAAAATAGTTTATCTCTTACTTTTATTTTTTGCATTTCCTATTTTTTTCTCTTTAAAGGAAGGGGGGAAATGTATGCCTGTCAAGCACCATCTGTTGCTTTTGGTAAATTCTACCTTGGTGGTTGTGACTGTGTCTTCATATGGCTGCAAAATTATTAAAAAGGGCTTAAAATAATTCCATTATTATCAGTTTTTACTAACTCTTCTCCTTGAATAAATTTTCACGCATTCCATATATCTATAGATTATTAAAATCGAAAGAGTAGGATTTTGCTCAACACAGAAGAATATTTTTTGTGTTCTTTTCTCTTTTGCCTGGTGTAGATCTATCATTCGTGTTAGAATAGATTTAGACGCCATGTAATTTGTTACTAACTTTCAACTAAATAACAAGAGAGGTTATTAAATAGAGGGGAACCAAGATACTGATTTTGATTTTGGAATACATTCTATCATTTTGTTTCTTAAGTGTTTTTGTTAAGATGCTGTGAAAACTAGTTGCCCTTCTCCTAGGAGACATTGGTGGGCAGCTGGGGAGAACACCCCAAATACTGGAAATTGGAAGGCAGCCCAGCTGAACTGAAGAACTGCTTATGGATAATTTATCCACAGAGAGCCAAGAGCTAAATGTACATTTATATTCTCCCAGTTAATTTAGTCCATAGAAGAAAATCTTATCTTGTGTTTTGTTTTACATAGCCTATATATAATAAAGGGGGGAAAGTGGTTTAACAATAATGTATTATTTAGGGAGTTATTATCCCAGAGGGTAAAATAAATAACCTGGAAGGTGCAGGCCTTTTTCTGTATATGATCTGGGGCCAGGTTTGGAACCTTTAAAGAAAATTTAATTCAGACCTAATCTACTAGGTCTATTTTCATGGGCTTCCCTCCACCCCTCTTTGTGTTGCCTGCTGTTAGACATCTGAAGTGGCAACCCATGACTGAAAGAAAGTATACTAATCAAGTGGATTAGAACCCATGGAGATGGAGGTTGGAGAGAGTACTGGCTTTTTGGTTTGTTTGTCTGTTTTCCGTTGAAGTCACAGTATGGCATCTTATTGGTGATACTTACCTATTTCCAAACAAAGATGGACGTGGGTCTGACTAACTCCATAATGCAATAAAATTAGCCTGCCCTAGGCATTTTAGGAAATGCCTTATTTTCCTGCTGGCGCCTTTATAAAATTAGACTAATTCAATTGTTGCTTACTTTGTTTTCAGTACTCGGTATTGACCCTGACATGAATTGAAATTATTTTGAGCCCTCTTGTTTGCTTAGCTTGAACTGTATCTTACTTCTCTCGCATCCTGAAGCAGTTTCCTTGCATAGCACCAAGGTGGATTGTTCATATTTTTATTTTTCTATTTCCCTTTTGTATTTTTGTCCAAAAAAATCATGATTTTCACTGATGATTCAGGATCTGTATTTCCTCTGAAATAAGACTTAAAAGTTCAGGACTATTCCATAATGTTAAAAAATGGCCAGCCTGACTTTACCACATCAGCTGTAATAATCACTTCCTCTAAAGCTGTTTGTAAAGACTGCTCTCCCTACTGGTTCTTTCTTTCTGATGGAAAAATGAATTATCTCATTTTACTTTAAACTTACAGAAGCATTCCCTACGTAGGCTAAGAGCACTTAGGCAGTTAATCTCTAGGTTGGAGAATTGGAACAATTAATCCATATTGAGATCTGCAGACAAAGGGAGAAATCCCAATGATTGAAGTAAAAAAGCTTTTAAGCAGAGGAAATATAGTAATTTAATTCATCACTGATTGTATATGGATTTTCTTTTTGTTTTTATGTTAATCAGTTAGAAGTTTGAAAGTCTCCAGGATGACAAGATTTTCTGGAAAATTGATAGCAAATTCTCAAAAGGTTGGAGCCTGTGATTTGGTAAAGACAGAGCGCTCCTAACCTTTTGCTTATGAGACTTTAAATCTCAGTCTATTCGTGGGTTATAGACCGGTTTTCCAATGGAAAGATGATTTTTTTTTCAGTAAATGTCTTTATTGTATTTCATCTTCAGTAGTTAACATTCTTCTCTGTCACTTGTTGAAATACCTAATCTACCCCCCTACCCCGGCAAATCTCTTTAATTTCTTTGCATTTAAAAATAATGTTTGCCACACCTGTTTTGGTCTTGATCCAGAGATCATTTTATGTATTTAAAAAGAGAGGATTTTTGCCAGGGAACTTGGAGGGATCTCCTTGCGTGTGGTACTTCATTCTACACTGATATTTACTTAGTTTTATGCTATAAAGCAGTGGTTCTCAATATGAAGTCAGAAAATTTCATAAACAAAATTTGAACTATATTTAATATTTCAGAAAGTCTAACAGTCACACATTTGTGCAAAATACAGTTGTATGAGTTTATATTTGGCTATGATTTTAACAATTTAATGCGATAATACTAGCTTTGTTATTGAGATCAGAAGCTCTGATTGGCTCTTACGTATTTCTTTGGTTAATTAAAACAGGAGAAATTAATTGTTACTTTCAAAATGCATGGGTTTTTGGGGGGGGTTGGTTTCAAAAATATTTCAAATGAAATACTTGAAAACATAGGTCCTTGAGAAAAGGAAAGGGGATGCTTGGTGATGAAAAAGTTGCAAACCACTGCTGTATAGCCTATTTGACTTCATCTTCACTGAAGAGGTACTGATAATGTAATCACCAATTCAACAAAAGACAATACTTCTGCTTTTCTGTATTCTTATGTGGGAAGAAAAAAGTACTGGTCAACCTGTTGGCCATTTTCATGCTTGCTAATGTTACTATAAAGGGATTTAGTTAACAGTGCCACTGGATTAAAATACAAAGATGGCCATGCTTTCTTTCTTAGCTCTTAGAGAGAAAAGAAAGTTGCTGCATATTTCTCTGAAAACCTGTTCTCAAATCTACTCAGTCTGAGGATTTTATGTATCTATTTTTTCATGTTATGAGTTTTAGCTGCCTGCTAAACTGATACCTCAGTAGCCCACATTTTAGAGGGGTAAAGAGTAATGCTTTTCATACTCAGAAGCTTCGAGTTTCTGGCCACTGAAGCCTAGAAAAGGACTGAAGTAGCTAACTATGTTCATTGCTTTCTATTTTAATCCATCACTAAAATATGACTCAATCCCTTTGTTAATTGCCCTCAGTTTGAATCAAATTTCATGCACTTAAGAGGTAACTTTCTCTTTTTCTTTCTCTTTCCTCTTTTCTCAGTTATTAAGACTGTTTATTTGTTTCAAGGTGGAAGACTGCTCTGCTGTGAGTCGTGCCCCGCTTCCTTCCACCCCGAGTGCCTGAGCATAGACATGCCGGAAGGCTGCTGGAATTGCAATGACTGCAAAGCTGGCAAGAAACTACATTACAAGCAGATTGTTTGGGTCAAATTAGGAAATTACAGGCAAGTTTTTCCAGGGACAAAGAGGAAGTATTCAATCACTGCTCATACACAGGTTCACAATCTACACACAGAGTGGCTCGGAGACAGGTAGACCAGCTAGTGCTGCTAGAAGTACAACAGAAAGCCTTGGAAAAAGAAAGAAAAGAAACCTACTGTGAGTCTGGGTGTTTAGAAGGTTGGGAAGGTTAGTGGTTGTTGGATTTTTTTTTATTGGTTGACTTTTGTTTTTAAGTTCTGACAGTTATTTTATACTAATGAACTATGGTACTAATAGATTTTGGAATTAAAGGCTTCATGTGCATAGCAGGTAAGGTTTTTTTTGCATCCTAATTAGATTTATGTTAATTTCTGATTTCCAATAAAATTAAGAGTTAATATCCTGGCCAAAATAGCTCTGTTTGTCCCTAAATCTGGTTCATATTAGTTCTAGCTAGAAGTTCTAAACAGTGTGAAAAGAGAAACCTTTTTAGAATTTAAAGAGAGATTATTTCATTAGCAGCCCTTAGTTCTTAAGGGAGTGAAGTAGGAAATGTGTGATTTGATTGCCATTATTTTAACAAATCTCTCCTTTTAAGAAGCCAGTTTTGAACAAAAATAGCAATTTTTTTCATTATTATCCTTTATTTATTTAACTTTTT